AATGTGGTGCTGTGACATTTTCCTCAGATAGGCTCAAAATGGATGATAGCATCTCACAGCATCTGTATCTTTCATACCTAAGAGTACTCTCCAGATAGAATGAAGGGGTTCAGGTATTGAAAGCGAACTATTTTGCGCCGTGTTCCATCGCGAGTGACGGACAGTGTATATCACTTTGGCCAACCCCATTCAGGTGGTAGGTGCATAGCTGCATTTTGAGCATTTCCATCAGTTCTGAAAGATTCATCGTTCCACATCGAATATTTCGGAAGATACGAGGGTGTTTCCATAAGAAGTGAGACAAATTCGAATTTTTCAGGACTGAATTTTTTCAGGAAAAAAGTGTATTCGTAGTAGGTTGGTATTCCTGATCAGGAATCTGAAGGAATTTTGAGCCTAATATGTTTTACCGTAAGAAATGGGGTGTTTCATCGCAGGTGGCGGACAGTGTATATCACTTTGGCCAACCCCATTCAGGTGCTAGGTGCATTTTGAGCATTTCCATCAATCCTGAGAGTTTCATCTTTCTACCTCGAATATTACGGAAGATATGGGGGTGTTTCCATGAGAAGTGAGACACTCTTTATTAACTGGATATTTGATTCTTCTGACGTGTGTCGAAAAAATATATTTATTCGCAATTGAGGCCTTGTTCAGAAGTAATCCTTTTTAGGTTCTGACAGAAAACACTGTACAATTATGCGAAAGTCTACATACATATATAAACAGGGTGTTTTCAACCTCTCGCTGCAGCAAGGGCGACCGAATGCGATCCATTGCGACAGAGCTATTTTCAATACATTTTCCACTGAGAGAATACATTCATCCATCAATTTTTATTTCATCACCTTCGAAGTAGTCTCTTTCAGATATAATCAACTTATTCCAGCGTTTTTTCCAATCAAGGAAGCAGTTCTGATATGTACGTCCTTGGTACGTCCTTGAGCCCTCTCAGCGATTTGGTTTTTATCACCTTAATTGTCACAGAACGCCGTCCTTTTCTTATAATTGGGTACAGGAAAATGTTGCAGAGGGCCAAGTCTGGTGAATACGGTGGCTGAGGCATGATTATTTTGAAGTTATGTGCCGCTTGCTTCTCGCAAGCGGTACATAACCCTAAAATAATACTTCTTATCAACCGTACGACTATGAAGCAAAAACTCCTGTTGCACTACGCCACGGTAATCGAAGAAACAAGTAAGCAAAACTTCGACATTTCATCGAACTTGCCGTTATTTTTTCGGTCTTGGGTCTCCTTGGCTCTTCCATTGAAACGATTGGACTTTTGGTCTCGATATCATAATCATGTACCCCTGATTCGTAACCAGTTATGATCCTTTCAACAGATCTGGTTCTATCAGTCACTTTGGTGATGACATAACCCTCATTTACTTTTATGAAAGTACAAATATCATTGACAAGTCCTAAAACCAATATCTTTCTGATTGGTATCTCATGAGTTACATTTGAATTTTAATAAATCTCGCTTCACAATTATCTCTGGAAAAAAATCAGATGACAAAACTTTTTTCATAAATTTCAATAATGATATGATAGAATTTAAGAAAGAAATAAAAATTTCCGCATATTTTCAGATCAGAATGTATGGTGGAATTTACATATCACCTCTTATAGGTATATTTCATAAAATAAGCAATGTTGATCCTATCAGAATATTCAGAAACAATATATTTCTCTTCAGTTCATTCGACATTTCAATACTCAACATCATTGTGGGTAACAGCTAATTTTCCTCATTCACAACGGTCACAAAATGAAAGCAGAAAATGTAAGAATGAACTGAATCAGAGAGAAAGGACCAGCAATCTGTATGAAACTAAAAAATGATCTGTTATCAGCAAAATATGCATGTTCATTTATAATGCTGTCGGTGATAGCCGGTCGGTTCGACGTAGGTACTTTGTTCAATCGACCGCCGTGTTGGTCGGTGGTTCAAGCCGCAGCGATTTCACTTGCTATCGTCCAACCCGTGTTAGGAATCACACGTTAAAAGGGAAGATCTCGTAAGTCCTCAGCTTGCACAAGTTTCGATTTCTGAAGTGTCGTTCGTAGAGGTGCGATAGCTGGTTAACGTTAAAACATATTTTAATGCTAATAATAATGAAAAACTTTCAGTATTATAGGTACACGACAAATATGAAAGTTAGTTTCACAATCACATAAAAGCAAATCTGTTCAAAAAAGTATTTTCCATTATTGAGTTGATTCAAATAAAAAATACCTAACAATATAAAAACATCCAATTGCACGAATATATTTTGAAATAGATTGACAGTTTTGTAGTTTCAAATATCTTTCTTTGCTGTATTATTTTCAGTATGTTCATTTTTCCAATATGTTGTTACATTGTTCCTCCTATAATAATGTAATGTTTTTTGGGATTGATACATTTTTTATTATTATCAATTACATGAAAGGAAACGTACTTCCAAATTTCTGTAATCGTGAATCTATATGCTAGTTTCGAAAATGAATATAACTTTTCCTGAATATAACATAATCAGATATATTTTGACTGGGTTCTAGTATTATGGTGTTCATGGTGCAGCTATTTTTTCATATTGTTCTCAGTACTTTCCTCACTGGTTTAGCAAGAAAATAAAGGATCGGTTATAAAAGGAATATGATGAATTTAAGTGGTACTCATGAATTCATTTCTATAATTGTAAATCAAATGAGTCAATATATCACCTATACAAATTTAATTATTGTCAGGAAGTGAATGTTGAATATCTTGAACATTTATTAAAAGAAACNGAAACTGAAATCAATTTTGATTACATTTCCTCTCAAAATCATTATTCTTATCATTTCTTTGCTTTTGACACGAATATAAAACTGCTGATTACCCAGAATCAGCTGCCCAAAGATAAGATGATAGCCGACACCAAAAACCCCCTTTCCATCTCAAAAAAATTGATAGTGAGTGATGCAACATTGTTGAACTGAATTCAAAAGTACAGTGGTAATAATTATAGTATTGGTTTTTAGGTTTTCTGAGTACTGAGGACGAAGGCTCTTATGGCAACTATGGCCTGAAGGATCAATTTGCAGCACTTAAATGGGTGAATCTGAATATCAAAAGTTTCGGAGGTGACCCTAAAANAAAAGTACAGCGGTAATTATAGCATTGGTTTTTAGGTTTTCTGAGTACTGAAGACGAAGGCTCTTATGGCAACTATGGCCTGAAGGATCAATTTGCAGCACTTAAATGGGTGAATCTGAATATCAAAAGTTTCGGAGGTGACCCTAAAAGAGTGACAATGGCCGGACATAGTTCCGGAAGTGTGAGCGCTTTATACCAAATGATTTACCCAAAAAGTTGGGGACTGTACTGTGGTGTTATAGGATTGAGCGGCGAGGTATGTATAATATATTCAATAAATATTGTGTTTCCAAACTGGACGTTAGATGAACATTTTTCAAAGAGTTTTTGATGAACGTCGAAAAGTCAAACAGAATTACAGAATAGGTACTGATATGAATTGAAGGGGTTATATTTTAAGAAGTGATTATTTTTTTTTGTGAAAGAAAAATTAATCACTCCTAAAAATATAACCCCTTCAATTCAAATAAGATTCCTCTTGGCTGGGATTAAATCAAATAGGTGAATGAATGTCATTACGATGTCATCGATGACATAAGCAGATCAAGCTTATTCCGTGACATTCAAAATCNGGCTTCCCGGATAGGGCCTCCAGTCCCCTGGCCGTTCCCCTATCCGCCACCTGGGGACGCGCCCGATAGGTAGCCCAACCCACGGGACTCAGATTGCTAATTGAAAGCTGCTATATAAAAATTCCGAGATCTTGAATGTCAGGGGTCTATATTCCTATCAATGCCTTCAGTGGATATTCAAAAACAAACAGAACTACGAAAAAAATCTTGCTGAAAAATATACAAGATCTATTGAGGATCTATCTATCAGAATACCCAAAATCAGAAAGAGTTATACACGAAGATTTATATTCTATTTCAGACCTAAACTATATAATATGTTAGGTCTAAAAGTTAAGCATATAACAAAAATGGCGAACCACAAACAAAACATTGAAAGTTTCATTCTCGAAAACAACACACTAAATTAAATTTTCAACTGATACACACTCCTCTATTACTCTATAACTTATTACTCTTTCCCATTATCCTAACAAACCTAACATAAAATAGATTAACTCTCAAGACCCTCGAGACTCACAGTTTTTCGAATTGCATCTGTTGTTGATCTACCCGCTCTGAATCCATATTGATCTTCACTACATGATTTGTTATTAATAAAAAAGTTCATGAGCCTGTTCTTCAAAATAATTTCAAAGTTTTTTCCCAAAACGAGAATGATTGATATTGGTCTATAGTTACCAACCAGAGACCTGTCTCCTTTTTTTTAAAGAGGAAATACCTTTGTACATTTAAACATGTCTGGTTTTGTGTCTGTTTTTGTATACCCGAGTTGAATAAAAATGTAAAAGGATCTATAATTGCTTCAATTATACCCTTGATAATTGCACTGTTCAAAAAACAATGAAGAACATGATGATTTAGCACCATTAAGTAAATCATTCGAAGTGAATTGGACTTCGGGTAGTTCTGAAATAACATTTTCTGCTATATTAAT